TAATTTAACCAACCAGCAGCTCCCCCCTAGCTCTGGAGGCTCAGCCCCTTCCCCTTCCCCCACCCGGGGGACTTCCTCCCGCCCAACCTCCCATAACCCCACCCCAGCTGCTTCTCAGCCATCCTCCCGGGCTTCCTCCCAGTCACCTAGTCCTCATGTCCAGCATGTGTCCCGAGGGTCTACTCAAGCCCCTACCCCTCCAGCCTCCAAATCTCCCTCCCAGACTGGATTGAAAGCTCTCTCTCGAAACCCTTCCCTGACGCCCGCGGTGCCGGTGAACAGGTCCCCTTCCCACAGCCCTGCGGCCTCTGCCTCCTACATCGGGCCCATCCGCAACATCCCTTCCTACATTGCCCCCTATGTGCCTCGCTTCATGAAAGAGACCCCCTATTTCCAGCCCCCTACAGCACCTCTTCCGCAAAATCGGTGCTTTCCCTGTCCCTTTCCGTGCCAGGCCCAGGAATCCAGTAGGCCGCAGCCACCACCACCACCTGACTCTCTCTACTTCCCCCTCCTCCCCCCACCCCCTCACCTCCCCCAGGTGAACTGCACCTACCCTACACCTCCGGCCCTGTTCACACCCCCATCCTCCCTCTCCTACACTCCACCAACTGAGGTCCTGCTGAAGGGGAAGCCACACGTGGTACCTTCGGTGCTACCGGCCACCTTCTACACCCCCTTCTCCCGCTTCTACTCCCACCCCCGGCCCTACCGCTACCACCGGCGGTTAACCCTCCCCTCACTCTCCCTTCAATACGATGGTTCTGGACGCTCTGTCCACTTCTATCGTGGGACCTAGGCCTCACACCTATTTTGGACCAGAAACCTCTGCCAGTAAATTCAAGCTCCTGCATCCAGACTTCATCCGCTACCTGACAGAGAGGTATGGGGGATGGGGACGGGGTGGGAGATGGGAGGACCAACTTTTTCCTTCTCACCCCATGTCATGTTTATAGTGCCTTCGGCGGGGCCTCATTCCCTACACACTGGACTGCACGCCCGTACTGAGTGCCATGCGCCTATCGCTGCACTAAATGTGTCTGTGGTTTCTTTTACTGACTTACTTACTACCGTGTAGGAGATGGTGATACAGTAGATAGGGAATAAACAAGAAACGGGAAGTTGAGTCCCACGTTCACAAAGTCAGAAGATGTTGGGTGCTAAAAAGTCTAGTGCCATCACTTTTGGCTCCAAACCCAGCCTGCCAAAAGCCAGTGATCCAGAGAACCAAGGGAAACAGACACCACTTCTCTCCCTCCCTCAGTGCCTTAGGTTGGACATTTGGTTCAGTCAGGACATAGTTTGGGTTGTCGTGGAGGACATGACATGCGTAAGTAGAAGCCAGGGACCTGCCGACCGTCCTTCAGGGCAGAGGTCCAGCGGCGATGCCCAGTGCTAGCCGTCCCACAGTTGAGAAACCCACTGTACAGCAGCACAAAGGCCACCATCTCCACGGAAGGTGGTTGGAGCAGTAGGTGGGAGGCCAGTGGAAGCCCTCTGAGCTTGAGTGACCTGCCCGGTCAAGCTCTCAACAGAAAGCCAGGTCTAAGGGCAGCACCTGTGGGTACTATCACACCAGTGAACCCAGAGCTAGGATCTCAGTGAGCTCCCTGCTCAGCCGTAGTTCCTACTGGCTCAGTTGAGTGGGAGGAAAGAAGTTTGGGTCTCAGGTTAAATAAAGAGGCCATCTGTATATGCTCCAAATTTGAAGCTATCAGGGTGGAAGACAATAGTTGTAGAATAGGAGGAAAGGGAGGCTCTCACCCCTCTAAGGTGTTAACTTCATCCTAAGACCCTCACTGTTGGAGGAGAAGGGCCGGTTTCTGACTGTCTCCAGCCTCTTTGAGTGGGTAACCTAAAGTCTAATGTAGCTGTGGTATTCTCATTCAACACCTGAGTGTCTTAAGTTTTGGGGGTTTTTGTAAATCTTTGTGGGGAGGGCTGGACAGGGCGAGGAACATGCAGGCAGGAGCACGTGGAGGCTTTCTCTTTGTCTGTTTCTTGACATTCGCCAGGCTGGCTGACCTCTGAGTTTCCCTGCCTCCCATCTCACCGCAGGATAGCTGGGATCGCAGATAGGCGCTCCTGTGTCCAGCCTCACGTGGGTGCTGGGGACCCAGATGGGGATCTGAAGTTTGTGTGACAAGGCCTTTACTCTCAACTCTCCTGTTAGCCCCTTCTCGGATCTTAACGCTTCCGACGTCCTTCCAGGTTTCTGAAGTCCAAGCTGATGAACACACGTTACAGAGACATGTATATGCCCACCACGGGAGCACTCATGCTGCTGACAGCCTTGCACACCTGTGACCAGGTAGGTGGTCCTCTCCAGGAGCCCTGGCAGCACAGCATGACTGTCAGCTCACTGTGGCCCACTAGTCCTTCCCAAGGCTGGCCACCCTGAAGTGGGGCTCGGCCACAGATAGGACTCCCCAGGAGCAGGAGAGCCTGCTTCCTCCTGTCATCCGGAGGGTGTGGTCTAGGCCAGCCTTGCCTCAGTGGTCCTCCTGCCCGCCTTCCCTCTTTTTATTCGACACGGTATTTAGGGTGCAGTGGGCCAAACAGCTCTTCTGAAAGCAGAATCTGGCTGGGGGGTATCATTTAATGGGGATATCCTAGAGCTGGCAATAGACAGCAGGCTCAGCCTTGCACCTGCAGAAACCCTGAAGGTAAAAGGTTCTGTCCTGGTGGAGTGCCGCTTCATGTGTAAGGAGGCAGAGGTTGAGTGACAGTTCTCAAATGGCTGTGGATGCAGATGAAGCAAGCATGAGGCCCTGCGTTCAGGCTGTGACCCCGTAAAGGCATGAGGGACGGCAGTCAGACGGGCCTGGCTCTGCACATTTTACCTATTTCAGTGCAGGTGTCCTGACTGCAGTCACCGTAGATTCCCTCCATCCTTGAACTTCAAGATCACGATGTCTGAGTCACACTTAAGTTCCAAACCCATCTCTGCTACTCACTGAACGGGGACACTTGTAATTACCAATTAGCCTGTGTTCGATGGGGTTAAGACTCACTTGTGAGAATGTGTGTAAGCTGAGCTGTTTATCTGCTCCCTCATCTTCCTGAGGGGACCTGCTTGGGGGGACAGGCATACTCTAGCTCCAGTTGCTATGCTGCTGCACCCTGCAGCTCCCTAAGTGCTCACTGTGACTGTACTTCCCCAGGTCAGTGCCTACGGATTCATCACCAGCAACTACCGGCAATACTCAGACCACTATTTCGAGCGAGAAAAGAAACCAGTGATATTCTACGCAAACCATGATCTGACCCTAGAAGCTGCCCTGTGGAGGAGCCTACACAACGCTGGCATCCTTCAGCTGTACCAGCGCTGACCCCGAAGGACCCATTTCTTTGCTTCGAAAGCACTTTTTCTTGACCTTTCAACCTTTGGAAGAGGCATCAGTCCCCTTGACCCTCTGCTTCCCCAGAGGGTACTGAGACAAGACTCTACTTGACCCTTGACCCTCTACTTCCCCAGAGGGTACTGAGACAAGACTCGTGGCCACATCACCAGAGCCTGTTCAACGCACGATACAGTCTTGACTTGAGCCAACTCTTCTGGGCTTAGCCAGGGGAGGGCAGACTGCTGTGCAGAGTTCGTTTTCACCCCCCAAAATGAGAGTGATCCTCACCAGCAAAGACCCTGATAGTTTAAAGCTAGCGCCTGATCCCGAGCAACTAGGAACATTAAAGAAGCCATTCAGGGCTGTCTGGAAACCAGTATCAAGCAGAGACCAACCCCTAGCTGAAACCAATGGCACATCAAATTCCAAAGCCATTCAACCTGTGAGGACATCTTAAGCTTTCTGAGAACACGACATTTTTGCCTTGGGACAGAACCACAGGCAGAAGGTAATTTGAGGCTAGCTAATAGGGTAAGTGACGGATGACCACTGTCTCTTCCTGTGTGTCGGCTTGGAGGGAGTGGTGAGGTGCAGCTCAGGACTAGGACTCACAGGCACAAGCACATCCAGCACCAGTGTACGGGAGGTACTGACACTTGGCCAGCTACACACAAGTTGTCACTACCGAAGTCCTACTAGAGATGTATCACCATCACTCCTTGTCACCAACAGGATACTAGAGTGACGGACCCTCATCCTTGCATCACAGCTTCAATAAACACCAACTGAGGCAGTTTCTGTTTCCTGAGCCAAGATATCTCAGGGCCCCTAGAAATGTGTCTGGTTGTGGGTGGGGAGTGGGTATCCCAAGGATTGCTGGCCAGACACCCTGAGGCTGAGGACTGACATTTGGTTCTACAGTTTGGGAAAACTGACGGGATAAACCAATGACCTAACAACTTTAAGAACCCCAGAAGGGCTGGTAGTGGCAGTGTGCAACTCCATTCCCAGCAGAGGCAGATGTCCCTAACTGGGGAGGCTGAGACAGCCTGGGTTTAGCCTCTTGTTGCCCCAAGAGGAGTTAGAATATTGGGTAAACAGACTCTCAGGAGTCCTGCAAAGCAGACAGTTCTATATCAGTTATTCAGACTCCCTCAGTCCCAAGATCTCACAGCTGACTGTACTACCTAAACCCTACTGCCCTGGCAACCCACATTTCCCTGGCACCCTTTGATCCATGGTGCAGACACAGTAGCAGTACATTCATCAATGAACCAAATGATTTCTTTAAAGACCTATTTATGTGAATGGGTGTTTGCATGCATGCTGGCCTGTGCACCACTTGCATGCCTGGGTACCATGATGACCAGAAAAGGGTACAGGATTCCTTGGGATTAGGGTTACAGATGGTTGTGAGCCCCCATGTGGGTACTGGAATTGAAGCCAGGTGTTCTAGAACAGTCAGTGCTCTTAGCCCTTCAACCCCATCATCACTGGATTAAGTGTTAGGTAATTTTAGGTGGCAACCTATGATTTAGATACAAAGTCAACTTTAACAGGTCAATAGAAAATGTCTGGATGTCTGCGATTAGGTTCAAGTGTTATTCTAGAACTCTTTTTTCTAAGCCTCAATCTCGTATCCACAATGCTAGTGAGTTAAATTTTATAGTTTATTTGTGCTTCAAATTAGAAAGCTCAACACCGACTTCTCAGGAAATCCACTGTGAGAAATGCCACCCATCCCCTCCAAGTGCCTCCAATATTCGCTAGCTGCCAGAGGCTTCCGGGGTGACTGCAGTCACTTGACTCTGCTGGCTGCTTTTGCAGATCAAACTCCAAGGCCCTTTGATGACACTCTGGGAAACTGAAGGCCAGCAACAGCAGGACACTCCAGGGCAAAAGCCTGAAAACAAAACATGAAGGAAACCGAAGAGTCAGGGAACAGGTGCATCAGCCTGCAGCTCCTGCCACTGCCACTTACCAAGCACTGTGCGTGCTGTGCGCTCAGGCGGGCACTGCCTAAGTTCCAATGCAGAATGATCAACTAGTTTGTTTTAGGAGACGGGAAATTTCTGGTAATGGTCAAAAACCCATGAAGCATCAGGAATATTTACACTCAACTCACTCCCTCTGGACATGACCTTTGAATTCACCCAGGAGCAAAGCCAAGCGGCTGTGGGCAGCTAGGGCTCAGTCAATCTCACCCAAATGCAAATACTTTAGGTGATGAAACAAAAATGCGGCCGTACAGGCACAGAAAGCCTGTGCACGCCTCCCAGTTCCCGCAGGAAAGCACAATCTGAGGGCACTGCAAACTGGCCACAGAAACAGGAATTACTGCCGGGCGATGGTGGCGCACGCCTTTAATCCCAGCACTCGGGAGGCAGAGGCAGGCGGATCTCTGTGAGTTCGAGACCAGCCTGGTCTACAGAGCTAGTTCCAGGACAGGCTCCACAGCCACAGAGAAACCCTGTCTCGAAAAACCAAAAAAAAAAAAAAAAAAAAGAAACAGGAATTACTGAGGTGGAGTTCGCCCAGCTCCACACCCCAGGGCCACTTGTTTCTCGTTACCCTGGTGCCCATCAAGCAATCTGACATTCAGACAGGACCTAATCTGTACGAGGCTGCCAGGGTCACGGCACCTTCTTTCCTAAATGTCAGGGCTGCAGCAGAGGCAAGGACAGAGTCATTAGGCATTCTAAAGTCACAAGCTGGCACAAGTCTTACATCCCCGTCTCCTTCAAAAGAGCACATTCATTTTCTATAAGTATGTGACAAGGACCCTTTCACTTCACAACGAGCACAAAACGAGCCCTGGCAGCATACCCACTTCTGCTAACTCGGGCTGTGCCCTCAGAGCCACTCAATGGAGAGGATTACAGGGCAAGCAGGCAGCAGGTTTCTGGAAGGCTGGCACACTACACCAGCTCCCAGCAGGGCACACACAGCTCTTTATGGCGTCCACTCGATCCCTTATAAAGCTCGAATTTCTTCAGGCAGAGAGCCACACCCCTGAGCCTCAGAATAGAGTATTTTCCCTCAGCTGAAGTTTTCAGACAGGGATAACCAACCATCCATCATAGGCGTATGGGCTTTTTTGGGAACACAAACAAATGGGAACATAAAATCACAAGGAACATGGTGGCGCACGCCTTCAATCCGAACACCTGGAAGGCAGAAGCAGGTGTTCCTCAGTGAGTTTGTGAGGTTAATCAGGTCTATTCAGTGCTAGGCCAGCTGGGACTATACAGTAAGACTATCTCAGATTAGAGGGGGGAGGGACTCCAGACAAAAGCAATCGCTTCATTAGTCACAAGGAAGCTGTTTCACCCTGCACAACCTGGAGAAGAAAACCACATTGAAATCTCCCTCGTCAGAGTAGGGTGTCAAAGGCACTGATACTCCACCCCACATCCTGATCCAGGCTCAAGTCCAGGTGCAGATGGTTACCTGTGTGGCGGCTACAGCATCCTGCATCCTTCTCCTCCCGTGACTCAGCCTGCACCTGGTGATAAGCAAACACACCGTAACTCTAGAGCAACTCACTGTAAAACCATGCCCGGAGCCTGCCTGTCCCTGGGAAGCTGAGCTTCAGATAACCACATTCCACACAGAAAGGCCTCTTGACCTTCAGTCAGGGATAACTTACATCATCATGCACTCAGCTCCCACAGAACTGCCAGCCTCTGAGCATGAGAACGCTTTAGAAAGGTTTTTTTTAAAAAAAAAAAAAAATTTATGTGTGTTTTGACTATATATACATGTGTACCATGTGTGTGCCTGTAGAGACCAGAAGAGGGCACGGGATTCCCTAGAAGCGGACTTACATGCAGCTGACTGCTCGAAGTGGGTGCTGGCAATGAACCCAGGTCCTCTTTAACCAACTAACCACTGAGCCATCTCTCTGGCCACTCCTGTCCTCCTAAAGACAGGATCACTAACATTAAGGAAGCAAAGACAGAAGTGTGATTTGGAACCCAGCCTGTACTACACAGCCAACTCAGGCTACAAGGTAAGACCTTTGGGTGGAAAGGTCACTCCCAGCAGCAGGGGTCTGATCGCTGAGCCAGAATCTTTGGCACAACGGTTTAGGTCACCCACTGGACAACCATCTATCACAAAGGCTACCAAGAAATGACATCATACAGCTTCTCCTCCCCCACCCACATATACGACAGCAAGCATGTGGTTTTTAGTTTTGTTAAGACTAAAATTAGAAATCTACCCAGGAGCCTTTTAAAAACAGCCAGCACTCTAACCTTGCTGTAAGAGAAGGCCTCGGCTCAAATAGACCAGAATCGTTCAAACCGTTTCTGTACGCCGCTCCAGACCTCCCACAAGGCTCTGATTCCACTCTAGAACCATTTGCATCCACTGGCAGAAGTGGACCCAGGAAACACGTTTTAGGTTCTGAGATATATCCGAGCTTAAAAACAACCACTTCTGCATCACAAGACACAAGGCTCTGTGCCACCATCAGTTGGCAGGTCAAAATCTTTCATCTAAAATGCAGTTTTGGCTCAGTGTGTAAAGGAGAGAACACACTCCATCCTGACTGACAAACATAGCCATGGCACACGCACATACAAAAGAAGTATCTTTAAGTACGCACAAGGTTTGATCCCCTGCCCAGAAAAACCTATATAAAATGCAGTTTCTAGGGGGTTTCTTAACCTCAGTTCTATTGACATGTTGGGTGCATAAGTCCTTATACTGGGGCTGGAGAGATGGCTCAACAGTTAAGAGCATTGCCTGCTCTTCCAAAGGTCCTGAGTTCAATTCCCAGCAACCACATGGTGGCTCACAACCATCTGAAATGAGATTTGATGCCCTCTTCTGGTCTGCAGGCAGATACACAGGCAGAATATTGTATACATAATAAATTAATATTTAATAAAAAGTCCTTATACTGGCTGTCTCGTGCCTTGAAGGAGTCATCCAGCATCAATTGGATGTCCAATGAAAGCTAATAGCTGCTTACACAATCTTGAGCAGAATCCCCACTATGTGGCAGCAGAGTGGAAGACAACTTTGTATTTGCAAACTTTTTACCTCTTAATCAAACAGACCAATCCTTCCAGGCAATCCCTGTGATTGTATGAAGAAGCTGTTAGCACGCATAGCGTCAAGAAGGTCCTTACGTGCCACGCCCGACAATGTCTCCAGGAGCCAACTCCAACCTGAAAGGATAACGAAGACAACAGACTTCATTGTAACAGAAACAACCCGTAAGGTGTTTATTCTCAAATTAGGCGTTAAAAGGTTGAGCCTCAGTAAACCACAACTCTTCACAAGACATGTCATCTCAGACAGGGATAACTTTAATTCATCCTCGGCTCCACCAGTAACAAACTCCTAAATCCCAGGCAACACAAACTCATGGTCCAAGTCTCTTCTTCCCTTCATCCCTGTCCATCCTGTCTCCCATGTTATATGGCGGGTGACACTCGGTGGTTCCGAGTTACACTGGCAGAGCCTCTCTTCTGGACTTTGAGTAGAAACTTACCGAAATGGACTCATGGCTCGACACGCGTTCTCACAGCTTAACTTTATATTAGCACGCCTGAAGCAGATGTCCATCATCTACCTTCTCATCGGTGGCCACACGGGTCCGTTACGCTTAGGGATCCTGCCATTACTCCTGAGACGGAGTCTGCAGCCTTGCTTCTCAGCGTCGCAACAGGTGCCAAAGGTGTGCCTTCAAGGAAAGAAAAAAATATGCCAGGGGAAACTATTTTGCAGGCCCCTCAATCACAACCTGCAGTCATTAGAGGATGTCAAGGCACTACGGGTGGGCAAACGTATTCGCGTCAACCCTCAGGCATTAAAGGCCACCCCGCCTCAATGGAAACCCCAGGGCCCGCAGGGTCGCATGCTCGGCGCATGGCTGGCCGTGAGACACAGGGAGCTGGGCAAGTTGGGAAGAACTCCCAAGAAACGCGAATTCGAAGCCTAAAATGGGCTTCAGCCCTCTTTCACACAACAGTTCTGGAAAACCTTTTTTTAAAACACAGAATCTTAGACCATCTAAGACCTTAAATAGCAATGCAGAGGAAGGGCTTATCGCGGCCACTTCACTTCTGGAGGAGACAAGTATGGTGACGGCATGTGGAGAAAAATCTCATTTTCCCGCTTCCACAGCTTACCAACACCAGAAGCCCTAGCCTTTTCAGTGAGTGAACGAAAGACAAAAGCAGCCATAACTTCCACACACGCGGCGGCGGACCTCGGAAAGGGCGAGGTTGCGGCTGCGCGCAGTCTTCCCACCCCGGTCTCGCCGGAACTCTCGCGATGTTAAGAAAGGCCTGTTGGGAAATGTAGTTCTAAATCGACCGTGGCCGAGCGTCGGTCGTCTCTCCTGAGAGTGAGTGAAGAGAAGGGGTAAAGATGATGGCCGCCACCAGGGGCAGCAGAGGTTCCTGGGGTGGGAAGTTTGGTCTGATGAGGAAACTCAGGCTCGTGGTCAGTTGCTCTGCGGATTTTATCTGGGGTGGAGAGGCGTCGATTGCCCTTGCCCAGGGAGAAGTCCCAGGGTCTCGTCGGCTGCTTTTTAGATGGGAGACGAGAGCGGATGCAGGCAGCAGGGGGCGCTCGAGCCGTAGGGTCCCGCCTGCCTGGGACCCTGTCCGGACCGGAGTAGCAGGAAATCATAAAAACTGACGGGAGTAGCAGGACTTCGTGAAAACAGCTCCAGGCTGGCACCTCCAGAAGCCCAGGGAGTTGCCTGCCCCCATCCTTCTGGGACCTTGACTTCAGTGACAGCCTACCTCGTCCCGGCCGCGGTGCTGAAAAGAACTTCAGGACTAGTCAGTAAAAATTGGAGAGAAAATAATTTTAATGGAGGTGTTTAGCGTGAGGATTAGGAGAAAGGCGCCCAGGAGAATGGCGTGCCCCAGTGTGGGAATGGGCTCCAGTCAGAGCTGCAGCTAGTTGCTCAGTCTTAGCCACATATACTATTTTGGTGGCTCTGAGTTACTCTTCAAACGGTTGCTAGGAGACCTCCCCCATCCCCACTTTCTTGCTCTCTTGTTAAGTGAGATAAGTGTGGGGGCTCCGGAGAGGCTTTGGATGGAGCTGTAGTCCAGAAGCCGTCAGGGTCGCAGGTTTAGTTTGTGTCTTCCATGTAAATGTGACGGCCTCTGGTAAGAGTCCCAGAAAACTGTGGTTTCCTATCTGGGAGGGGAGAAAGGGTCTTAAGTGGTTGGTACCAGAATTCTTGCTTCTCTGTTAGCAAGAGACTCCAACCCAGATTCCAGAATGAGGGACCCTTTTCCTTCTCATGTCCCCAAGGCTTTCCTTTCCTTTCTATCCTGCCTGATTTGGAATGTGATTTTTTTTTTTTGTTTTGGGGGAGGTGGGAGTTGGTTTTGTTTTGTTTTTTTTCAAGACAGGGTTTCTCTGTAGCTTTGGAGCCTGGAACTCACTCTGTAGACCAGGCTGGCCTCAAACTCACAGAGATCCGCCTGCCTCTGCCTCCCGAGTGCTGGGATTAAAGGCGTGCGCCACCACCGCATTTTTTATTAACAGGGCAAAATGGACAGACCTTACACCTATTAGGAAATGAGTTTAAATTTACAAGATCAAGAGCCTTGGATTCATAACTCTTATATATATTTTAATTGATTTTTTTATTGAGCTCTACATTTTTCTCTGCTCCCCTTCCTGCCTCTCCCCTCCCCTTCAACCCTCTCCCAAAGTCATGCTCCCAATTTACTCAGGAGCTCTTGTCCTTTTCTACTTCCCATGTAGGTACTCATAACTCCTAATCATTCTGCTCAAATGGGACTCTGTAGCATTTCATCTGTTCCATTTTTTTAATGTGGAAATCTGTTGCCGACACATATTCTTAATGACCATATTTGCTTATATGTGTCTCCTTTAATTTGATTGTGAATGCTTCATGAGCCGGGGGATGTGTCTTAATATTTTCTTCTTAATTTCCTCACCGTGCTGGATTTACTGTTTGGCAGTCTTCTCACAGAATGTTCCGAGGAAATAATCACTAATGTATTCAGCAAGAACACAGGCCCTTGAATGTGTCTGTCTTACCCTTGATGACATGTCATTTTGTTTAATACTGAAGGGAGGAAAGCATTTTCTCCAGGCACACTGCGTCCTTTCATTTGAGACCCACAGAGGGAATTGTGAAGAGTTTACCCAAAGCTCTTGTGAAACTTGTGGCCACGTGACCTTCTGCAGCCCAGATAATAATGGTAGGTAGTGCTTTGCGGTGGCTGCTGAGGTGGCTGCTCACTGCGTTGGGGGCCTTTCATCCTCCCGGTCTATGAGCACCGTCGTCGTTGTCCCATTGGGCAGTTGAAGAAACACATATTGAGCGACAAGGCACTGTTTAAAGTCACACCAGCGTTGGGCAGGCTTGGTGTGATCGCAGCCTGAGGAGGTTATGCTTATCACCAAGTTGCTCCGCCCTGTGAGTAAATTGATCTATACAGAAGAACTTTCCTTTTATGGGAAAAGCAAAAACAGGAGGATTTTTTTGTGTTTTGTTTTTTGTTTTTCTGAGACAGGGTTTCTCTGTAGCTTTAGAGCCTGTCCTGGAACTCGCTCTGTAGACCTGGCTGGCCTCAAACTCACAGAGATCTGCCTGCTTCTGCCTCCCAAGTTCTGGGATTTTTGTGTCTTTAAAAAAAAAAGTTTGTGTGTGAGGATATATGCAGGTGACATAGAGGTCAGAGGTCAGCTTTGGTTCTCAGACACCCTCCACCTTATTTTTTTGAGTCTGAACCTCTCTGTAAACATAGAGCTTGTAGATGTGACTAGACTGGCTGGCCAGTGAGCCCCAGGGACCATGCTGTCTCTGCTCCCCCGAGCTGGGATTACAGGCACATGCCACCGCAATCAGTTTTCTCTTCCATTTTATTGTTTATTTATTTTGGGGAAGGCGTGTTTTGTCTGTATGTATATCTGTGTACCACGTGTATGCCTGTAGCATGAATTCTAATTGGTCTTAATAATGAAAACCCGGAGTCAGCTCTCAGGGGTGAAAGCTGAAGGGTCAGAGAAGCAGAGCAGCCAGACACCAGTGCTCAGACGGAAAGGGCAATCCTGTCTCTACAAATCCTCAGACTGCACTGAGATCCTGTCTCCTCCTACCTCATATTCCTCTCTCCTCCCAGCCATATCACTCCTGTCTCCACCTCCCTAGTGCTGGGATTACCTTTGTATGAGCTCTGTTTCTCTTTTAGAGTGATGCAGTCTTGTGTAGCTCAGGGTGGCCTTGAACTCACAGAGATCCGACTGCCTCTGTCTCCCAAGTGCTCAGATTAAAGGCGTGTGCCACCACTGCCTGGCCTCTATGGCTAACTAAGTGGCTTAGCTCTGCACTCTGATCTTCAGGCAAGCTTTATTTGTTAGCTTACAAACAAAACATCAGTACATGTGTCTACTGCCAACATGTAGCGGCCAGAAGAAGATGTCAGATTGCCCCTAGAACTGGAGTTACAGTTGTGAAGTGACATTTGGTTTCTGAGACTAGAATCTGGGACCTCTGGAAGAACAATGCTCTTAACCACTGAGCCATTTCTCCAGCCCCTGCACCTAGCTTCTTAGGTGAGTGCTGGTGATCTGGGCTCATGTAGTGATCTGGTCCCCTGTCTGTCAGCTGCAAATTTTCTGTCTTTACAGAGGTGGTTGGAGACTAATAAAAAATGCTGACCAAAGAATGCACCTGCTTTGTCAGTTTGAACCACACGGTGGCAGAGTGAGGATGAGCATCCTCTGTCTTGAGGAGCCGCTCTCCGGGAGGCTGTAGGGCTTTGGGATCTAGCAGTGCTGTCTTGCGGGAGGCTAATTGCCACCCAGTGTACAGAGAGGCCACTATTCTAGCGCCTCACTCTGCAATAGGTCTCTGTGTGGGCTTCCCACCTGACAGGGCACAGTTTCTCCTGCACACCTCCTTTGTACATGATGGAGCAGTCCCAGGCACACAGCCAAGAGGGGCGCCACCAGCAAGCTGGGCAGTGGCCAAGAGGCTGGAGCAGACTCCAAGAGGCCTTGTGCCTGAGCACACACGAGACGCAACTGTGTAGGCAGTCTAGAAATAACTGGAGACGCTTCAAAGACTGCACCAGAATTCCTGAATGAGCAGCCAGGACAGAGCTGCTCAGAATGAAGTGCTAATGTCGCTGTGATCGCATCTGCGCTCTGCTGCTGAGATGGGCTGTGCACAGTGGAGCCCTAAAGCCGTCCTACAAGACTAGCGCAGACCACGGTTACCAATGGCTCAAGTCGGAGGTGGGCAAGCTGACTATCACTGCAGTGCCCCGAGACACCCAACCTCAGAGCACACAGGGCCTGCCATGCTGGGGCAGCCCGGAACAGGACTGAAGAAAGACGTGGTGTCTGAGACCCACAGTAAGAAAGCTGTCTTTACAGTGTTGAAGTTCCCTCCTTAATTCCAAAGGGAATCTTCGATTTTATTAATAAGAACATGAAAGGCAGGTTGGTGGCAACCTCTGAGCTGCTGGCTGCTCACACTTGAAGCAGTGGTACCAGTGACTTCATAGGAAGTATGTCTGTATACAGGCATGTTGGTGGCCGGCCTGGAAGCTGGTCTTCCTCCATCTTGTCTACAATACCATTCCAGCCAAGTTTGGGGGATTCTCCTTTAAAAGCAACAGCCTCTCTTCTGGCTCTGGGACATCGTAGAGACGCGATGCTTGGGCTGGCCGCAGCAGCCGTCTGGAATCTGTGTGGCTTCCTTCAAAGCGAGAGCCAAATGCCTCTGAAGACGGATTGGAAGGAAGAAAGGAGTCCTGGAGGCCGCTGGCAAGCTGCTGAGCTAGCCAGTCCTGAAGCCTGGGCTTTCTTCTCTCTATGGCTTAGAAACTACTATTTCCGTGTGTAGGATACACCTTAAAGGTTTCAGTGCAATACAGAGTGTGAGCTATAAGAAGCAAGCAGCATGGTTTAAGTCATTTCCAGCTGGGGTTTGATAGTGACATTTTCAACGTCTTTATAAAGAATCCCCAGGGAGAAGCTGGGTGTGGTGGCACACACTTAATCCCAGCCCTCAGGAGGCAGAGGCAGGTGGATCTCTGTGAGTTTGAGGCTATCCAGAGCTACACAGTAAGATTCTATTTCAACAAACAAACAAGGAAACTCACACAGTTCAGCCACGCCTTCACCCTCCTTATCTGCAAAGCTGTTTCCGCTAATAAAACTGCTGCTCAGGAACAGACCTTTAAAAATAAACAAATCTAGAGAATATGCAATATTGTCTGGACCTCATCTGCTCTTTCCTGGACGTGTCTCCCCATTGCCGGAAATCCTGCCTTCTCCATGTTGCGTAAGCTTTGCTTGCGGTGGTGCCGGTTCCCTCTGATTTGACTTCCCTTCCCCTCATCCTCTCCGCTACTCTGCTCTGCGCACTCCTGGCTGCCATGCTGAGTCAGGCTCCAGGTTTTCCTTGTGACATCTGTTCTGTGGCAGGTGGTTTAGCATGTGCTCTGCTATCAGACCAGCCTGGAGGAAAACCCCAGCTCAACTGAGCCGAGCTTGAATTACTTAGGGCAGATTACTCCACTTATCTCTATCCTTGTCTCTTTTGTTTTGTTTTCCAAGACAGGATCTTACTACTTAGCTCTGCTAGTCCTGGAACTTGCTCTGTAGTCCAGGCTGGCCTCGAACCCAGAGATGTGCCTGCCTCCGCCTCCCGGGTGCTGGGATCAAAGGCACACACCACTGTACTGTCTCATAGCCCCATCTTTACGAGGGAGAGGGGTGATCACTTGACTCTCACAGGATTGTTTTAAGACTGTGTTTCCAAAGCACGAAGTGCGCCACAGATGGGAACTTTGGATGCTTATATTTGTTTCTTGTCACATTCACAACTCCACTATTTAATATTTGTTTATGTGCATGTGTGTGTGCCTGCTTGAGTTTGCCCGTACCGTGTGTGCAGATGCCTACGGAGGCCGTAGAGGGTCAGATTGCCTGGAACTGGAGTTGCAGACGGTAGTGAGCCGCCTGATATGGGCGCTGGGAACCCTCTTAGCTGCTGAGCCACCTCCCCACCCCATTCCATTTTTATCCTCATTTTCTTCCTCTGCATCTCCCTTCCAGTACTGGGCATTGGACCCAGGGCTCAGCCATGTAAGACAACAGTCTGGCCTTGAGCTTGTAATTAGCCCCTCTGGTGTCTGGGATCAGAAGTGTGTGCCCCATTTGCTTATGGCCTGCTTTCTTGCTGGACTATGAGCAAATAATGATTTGTGTTTAGTTCATTCTTGTTTTTATTTTACTCTGTAAGCCACCTTTCCTGAGGTATAAAATATATTCAGAATGCACTGTTAGATTCAGAATGCAAACACATGCATATAAGCATAATCCAAGTCAAGATTCAAGACACATCTGCCACCCTGGGCCCCCTCGTGCCTTTTGTCCTTACAGTCGGTTTCCCTACCTAGCCCTGGCCAGGTCAGCCATCACTCTGCATTCCGTCTCGTCCTAGCATTTCATAACTGTGATCACCAACTAGGTCCTCCCCGTGTTTGCTCTCTTCATTTTCCTGTGTTGCTTCTTATATAAACACCCCACTTCCTTCTTGGTTTCGAGTGTTAGTCCACCATTCAGACCTACCTCAGCTTCCCCACTGATAACTGTTGATAGATCTGGGTTATTTTCAGTATGGAACTATCATTAGCAAAGCCGCTGTCAGCACTTTGTTCTCCAAGTACTTTCTAAGACACTACTGCACTGATTTCCCAAGTGGTCCCATTGTGGGATTCCAGACACTCACATGCTCACTTTGTGATAGCTACATAGTGGCATCTTGCCATGCTGATGCTTTTGATCTTATTGGCCATGTGCATATGTTTTTCGTAGAGTGGTTATTAAAACCTCCTGACTTTTAAAATTTGAACCAGTTGTAGAAGTTTTGGTTTGGTTTGGGTTTTGGCTTTTTGAGACAGAGTTTCTCTGTGTAGCCCTAACCGTCCTGGCCCCGAGCTTAGAGATCTGCTTGCCTCTGCCTCCCACGTGCTGTTTGGTTTTGTTTTTTTGTAAAAATTCTTTTAAGAACTATTCTATTTTTCCTTGTGTATGTGGGGGTGGGGGTGTGCACGTTAGTTCAGTGTCCAGAGGCCAGCAGAGGAGGTACAGGCAGTTGCGCGCTCCCACGTCGGTGCTGGGAATCGAACTGCTCTCCTGGAAGAGCTGCCCGGAACTTCTGAGCCAGCTCTCTAGCCCCTGGGCTGTAAAAGTCCTTCGTTCTAGTTTTTTTTTTTTAAAATATTTATTTATTTATTTATTATGTATACAATATTCTTTCAGCGTGTATGCCTGAAGGCCAGAAGAGGGCACCAGACCTCATTACAGATGGTTGTGAGCCACCATGTGGTTGCTGGGAATTGAACTCAGGACCTTTGGAAGAGCAGGCAATGCTCTTAACTGCTGAGCCATCTCTCCAGCCCCCCTTCGTTCTAGTTTTAAAATCAATTTCTCTCTTTCATATGTGTGCATCACACATGTGTGAGAACCTCCAAGTGCAGAAGAGGGCATCAGATCCCATGCAACTGGTGTTCCAGAGTATTGTGAACCACCACGAGGGTGCTGGGACCAAACCCCGGTCTTCTACAGAGAAGCATGTGCTCTTCACCTCAGAGCCAAATCTATTCCAGATACAATCACCTCAGAGCCAAATCTATTCCAGACACGAGTCTCAGATTTTCGTTTGTTTTTGAGACAGACATTTGTCTCACTGTTTAGCCCTGACTGGCCCGAAGCTCACTCTGTAGACCAGGCTGGTCTCAGACTCACAGGAATCCACCTGTCTCTGCCTCCCAAGTGCACCACGGCGCCCAGTTTGGGGAGTTTGTTTGTTAGTTGTATGTGGTGCTGAGACCCTAACCCAAGGCTTTGTCCACTCTGGGCCATCACCCCACTGCGGAGCTGCACCCCAGCCATTTGTCCTCAGTCGCCTGTTTGACCCGTGTTCCCGCCCAGGCTTCACCTGTGTGTCAGTTCACGCCCGTTCAAGCGCAGTCGGTTTTTCTCCTGTGTTTTCTGCGTCCTGTTGAGTTGTCACTGCTGCTTCTGTTTCTGTGTGCCGCCACGGATCCCGCTGTCTCTTCACCTTCTGGTTTCCCTTCCCTGAGCACCAGACAAGAGGCTGAAACAGTCCTGGGGCCGCTGCCTTGTGTGCCCACCCACCATCGTGTCTGTTTCCTACATTTGTTGTTTCTGGTTGGATTTGACAGGTGCCCCAAGTCTGTCTCTGTATCCTGGCACATGGACACTACACAGATGTTCACCACGTAGGCACATCTTTGTCAGCACCTCCAGACACAGTCCATCACAGGCTGTCTTGCTGGGGATAGTCCATGGGGCCCTGGAAAGCATCTGCCACGTCCCTTCACTTTTCTTGCCAGGCGATCATCAGGTCTTCATATCTCAGCACCAGGCCATGCAGAATGAACATGTTTACTGTGTGGGGAAACTGAGGTCTAGAGAACAAAAGGTCATCTGAGTCGGCAGAGCTGGACCAGCAGAACTAGACTTCCTCGCCAGGATCTTCCCGTGGTCCTGAGCAGCAGAGCAGGGAAGGCAGCTAATAAGGCTGCATCGCTCCCAGGGCCTCCGCTATTCATGCGTCGTGGCCTCCCATTGCTTGCTTGTAAATAAACAGTCGGATGAGTACGTGCCAACTTCTTTAGTGCTTAATTCACGTGGCTTTTGCCTGTGCATGCGACTGGGTGTCTGTCAGCGTGCATGCATGTGTGCAAGCGTGCATGCGTGTATGTGTGTGTGTGTGTGTGTGTATATGTGTGTTGACATAGAAAAGAGACTGGCCCTTTGACCGGCTCATATGCTCAGAGTCTGTCATTCAATCCATTCTGCAGGGTCTGTGGTCCTGATGCAGGTCCACGGATCCCTGCAGCACCTGTACTCCAGGTCTTGCACACACACACACACACACACACACACACACCAAAGCTGCTGCCTTCCTCACTCCTCCCTTTCTGCAGCTGGGCTTCTGGCTGTCGCCCTCTCCCCAGGGTCCTGGCCCCAGTTGAAGGAGGCAACAGAGTGGCAAGTGACAGCAACTGTAAGTGAAGGCCTTGCTGTCTGTCATCCCCGCCAGGAGCCACCACTTCCCGCTTCAGTGGCACCCATGGCTCTCCTTGCTCTCCTTACCTGGCAAGCAAGGGGCAAGGACCAGCCTCTCAGATCCCAGGGTCTGGCCTGCCTTTGATTGACATGCGCCTGAAGAGAAAACAGCATCCTGTTTCTCATCCCTCATTCTCAACAGAAAACCCTCGCAACCCTGCCCTGCCAGCAGAGACAGACATGACAGGCAGGGCCACGGCTCCAGGCCTTGTGACCTTGGCGGCAGGTCACTCCCTGAGTTTCTTCACTGCCCTCATCTCCAGATCCAAGACCTCCCTACCATCTGCTTTGGCATCAGATTCCCAGACACGGGTCCTGGCTTCACTGCCAGCTGTGACCTTGAACAAATTCTGTGAACTTCCCTTTCCTTATTGGGTAAATGAGGCTAACAGCAGTTCCTCCCTCGTCAACGAGACCGTGCCCGGTGCCCAGCGTATAATAAGGGTTTGATCCACATTAGCCATTATTAATAGCATCGTTAGTGCCATTAGCATTCGTTCAGTGTAAGCTGCAGCAAAGCCGCTCTGCCCTTCTCCTCATTTCCCGGCTCACAAAGAAGCAACCCTTCCCTCCAGCGCAAGGGCTCAACTTCTCCCTAACAGCACAACCCCTGCGAAGAGCACTGGCTGCCCAGGGAGCCAGGAAAGTGAAGAGCCCTCTTCACCTCTCGCCTGCCTCAAAGTGGGTCCTGGGTGTCACCCGGTCTGGTACTGGCCAGCACTTCCACCATGCTCTGTGTGCAGACACAGTCTATGCATTTGCGCACATCTGGGATGGGTGGGAACTCCCCAAGGTCTCACCTGCACTTTAGGGTGGCGCAGGACAGCAGCAGCTGCTGAAGCTCCCCCCACACCTCATTCCTTCCCTGGTCATGTCCAGGAGGGACTGGCGGCCCCAGAAGCAGCAGACAGCAGACAGCCCTCCCTGCTCAGGCTGCTGCCCTTGGCCACCCCATAGCTCAGAGCGCCTTTCCCCTGTCACTCAGGCTCTCTCCAGCTGAGAGATTAGCATTCAGACAAGGGCGGGAAGGTAACAGGGTTATGGGCTCCTATCCTCAGCGGAGAATGGTTTGGAAAGCAAAGCCTGTCACAGCCTCCCGCACACAGAGGCCCTTGATGGGTGTTCTCACCCGTCCCCCCATCTGTCCTCTGCCTCTTCTCGTTTGTCCATCACCCGGCTGTGGTGTATGGGGAGAGAGGAAAGGGAGGACCATCGGGTGAGGAGGGGAAGAGCTGCAACAGCTGAACAGGAATTTCCATCACAGACTCTCAGACCAGTGACACTCGCTAGTGTTAAGCAGTGCCCACCTCACCCTCACAGCAACTAACTCTGTCTTATGGAAGAGAAAACGGAAGCCCAGAGCCAGCCGCAGCCTATTCAAGGGCACAGAGAAAGGAGGTGGTGGCGGAGTCACTGGTTCTAGCCCCTTTGCTCTTAGGTTCCTGTTGTTATCCCATCAGAGGCAGCACCCCACCCCAGCAGCCAGCACCCCATACCAGCAACCAGCACCCCACCCCAGTGGCCAGCACCCCACCCCAGCAGCCAGCACCTCATACCAGCAAACGGCACCCCACCCCAGTGGCCAGTAGCCAGCACCCCAAACCAACGGATAGCACCCCACCCCAGCGGCCAGCACCCCATACCAGCAACCGGCACCCCAGACCAGCAACCGGCACCCCATACAAGCAGCCAGCACCACACCTCAGCAGCCAGCACCCCAAACCAATAGACAGCACCCCACGCCAGCAGCTACTTCTTTCTTTCTTTTCTTTTTTTTTTTTTTTTTTTTTTTTTTTTTTTTTTTTTTGGTTTTTCGAGACAGGGTTTCTCTGTGGCTTTGGAGCCTGTCCTGGAACTAGCTCTGTAGACCAGGCTGGGCTCGAACTCACAGAGATCCGCCTGCCTCTGCCTCCCGAGTGCTGGGATTAAAGGCCTGTGCCACCATCGCCCGGCTAGCTACTTATTTCTTGATCTCAGCTCTTTCCTCCGTTGTCCTTAGGTTTCTACCACACACATGAATATTCCTGTTCCTATTTCCAAACAGCAGCTATTGCTAAGGAAATGGGAAAGGGAAGGAGTGAGCCTCTGTGAGTAGTGTCATGGTCAGGAATTAATTGACACCCCCCCCCCATACTTTAAAGACACTCCCTTGACCTGAGTGATGGGAGTTAATGGGCTCATGGAGGGCACCTGTGAAGTGGGCATCTCCTGTGGAGGAAGTTCTGGGTTGAGGAAGGGCACCTGGGCAGTGGATGCTCCTGTGGAGGAGTTATGGACGAGGGAGGGCACCTGGGCAGTGGATGCTCCTGTGGAGGAGTTACAGATGAGGGAGGGCACCTGGGCAGTGGGCGTCTCCTGTGGAGAAGCTGCGGATGAGGGAGGGCACCTGGGCAGTGGGCGTCTCCTATGGAGAAGCTGCGGATGAGGGAGGGCACGTGGGCAGTGGGCACCTCCCATGGAGGAGTTATAGCTGAAGGAGGGCACCTGGGCAGTGGGCGGCTCCTGTGGAGAAGCCCTGGATGGGGGAGGGCACCTGGGCAGTGAGAGCCTTCCACAGAGGAGTTCCAGACTGAGGGAGGGACTTTGTGCTGCAGGAGCTACAAATGTGCAGATTGCACAGAGAACCCAGGGTGGGAGAGGCCCTGGGAAGAAGCCGAGCGTGGGCAGGGTGTGCGGGGAAGGTGTAAACACAGTCTGCTCCCACCAAAGCCAGCCTGCTCCCTGGGGGAGAGGGCCCCTCCCTCCCAACCCACATGGCTCCCCAGCTGCCAGGGCCCAGGGAGTCACATCCCCCGCTGCCAACAAGCCCCCTCCCCTCCCATCCCATCCTTGCCCTTCATCTGGAGCCAGTCGCCAGAGAAGGTTCCCAGAGCAGCGCCGCAAAGAGGTGCTGTCCTGCTGGAAGTGGGTCTGGGCTGGGAGCCAGCCCTGGTACTGCTCTATGACCTTGGCCTGGCAATTTCTTGGATCGTTGGAAGGAGGCAGGCAACTCGGAAATGGCAGAGACCAGAAACAAGGATGAAGTGACAGGAACATGGTGACTCGATTAGAGAATGAAGGCAAAGCTGGGGTCAGAGAACACAGCCCGGTCCCCAGGAACAGTGCCCTCTGGCCATCAGCCCTGTCGCTAGGATGACTCACGCCTCCCGGGAGAAAAATGGCTTGACAGGAGCTGAGACAGTTGGCCATGGATGGGGTGGACACTCCAGCAGGTTCTTTCCCCTAGTGTGACCCCACACACACCTCTGTGCCCTCTGGAGAGCCAGTTCCCGCAGTATTCCCTGTATCCATACCCACGCCAAGCTCCCTGCTGTACCAGCAGCCTCTCCCAGTAGGTAGCGCCCCACAATGGTGGGTCCCTCAGGTGTGGCATCTCTCACCCCTTTCCTCCCTCCACTGAAGTGAAGCAGCTCGGGGATCCTGCTGTCTAGGGGACTGTCTTCCGCCACCCGAAAGTCAGGGGCAGAGGCTGCGCAGACGGAGGCATAACTGCTGGGCTGGCAGCGGGGAACTGCGGGGAAGAGAGATGCAGCATGGGGGGTGTCTTTTGAAGATGAATGACTCCCAGACAGTTGGGAGTAGCTGCCCGCAGGGTGAGCCTGGTTCTGGGAGCAGGAGCGGAAATGGGCTTTTATCTCTGCTCTGGACCGGACAGGACGGTAAGGAGAGAAATGGCAGAGCAGCAGGGGGCAAGGGAGGTTGTGGTTGCCACTGAGTTACTGAGCAGTCAGAGTGACAAAAACAGGTGCCACGCTTTCCCCTTCCCACATGCCACTGTCCATTCGGAGCGCACACATGCATGCACGCGCGCGCACACACGCAGACACAGAGCACATTCAGCACACAAGCTGGTGTTTGCTCCAGGCCAGCTTCAGGCAGACATGCCACAGACCCAGCTGGCCTGTTTTACGGATAATTTCAGGAGAGCAGCCAATGACAGGGTGAGTTCTAGGGACTGAAAAGAGGCAGATGCCACAGGAATGAGTATCTGCTGCAAAGTGTCACGGCCCAGCCAGCGACTCCAGGGGTTTAGCAGAACAGCTCCTGAGTTGACAGATGGCCAGGCCAATAGAACCCCCTTTGCCAAGCGGCTGCAAAGTCAAGAAGGTCGTGCGCTTGAATCCCCCACCTAATAGCGTTGTGGCAATGGGCTTCTCCCTGTGTCTTCTTGTGCGTGTACCATAGATATCAGGACGGCTGCCTGTGGGTTATGTCAGGATCAGATTAGAGAATGAATCAGGGAGCCCTTGATGACTAAGCCCAGGCTATTCTTTATCCTTCCCTTGTTTTGCAAGGCTTCTTTCTCTCTGCTTGCACCCAACTCTGGGATGCTGGGGTTCCCTGCCATTAGCCTGGGGGAGCCTAGAAAGTCCCTCTCTCTGCCTTGTCCAGCTTGGCAGTTCCTCCAACCAGGAACTCAGGAGCACAAGCATCCCTGTTCTTCCTGCCAGCGCCGGCCTTGCTTGCGAGCCCTATAATCACGTTCTGTCTAGGAGCAGACCTGGAGGTTGCAGGGACAAGCCTACCTTCTCCTTGACTGCTTCTCCTGTTATCCCTCCAGACGCTGCCTCCGGCCCTACAACATCCTCCTGGGATAGGGGGTGAATCAGGACTCCCAGCTAGAAGGGAAAGCCAGAACAGCCCACAGCTCGTCCACCTGCCCAGAGGTGGGATGTGTATTTCAGGGTGGCCCGTCCCAGCCCCAGGCCACTACCTCTCCCTTAAAGATCTGCAGCACGGTTCCTTAGGATGTAGCTCAGCCAACACCTCACCCTCAAGCCTAGAAAGCATGGTCAGGACCATACTCTTCAAACCGGCCCTTGCCCTGTGGCCTGAAGCATAAACAGCCAGCACAAGTCAAAGCAGTCCTCACTCAACCTCCAGCAGTGACCATGAGAGCTACAGACTGCCTCCCGTGCCCCCCATGGCCCTGCCCTCTGCCCTCCAGGGCTCCTGCCTTTACCTGTCCGGGCTGGTGGGTCACAGTCCCCAGAGCTGAGCAGCCTGAAGAAGCAGCGAGGGCCTACCTCACAGGTTCTTTCTCCCTGCACAGAGGGAAGCACTGGAGTCAGAAGATGGAGATGAACTTGTCATGTTTAGGGCTCTCCTCTCCCTCCTGCTTTCCCCTGAGCCTCCCCAGCCAGTCCTGTGGCAGCCTCCATCAGCAACTGGTTCCTCATTGACAGACACTGTTTCCAGGTAACTGGATGCCAAGGAATTAAGAGGTAACCAGACTAGGCTTGGCTAGATGGTTCCTAGATTTGGTCTCTTCTCTCCGTTCAGGGGGTCTAGGCCCATTTTTTATAGGCTAGACAGCTACTTGGAATCAGATAGTCCCCCATTCAAATCTCCTTAGCCATTACTGAGTGATTATAAACAGCCACGTCCTACTAAGCCTAAGCCTAAGGTTATTGAGAATTACTGTGCAGGAAAAGTTTGGGAGCTAGGGGTGGTAACACATGCTTTTAGTCTCAGCACTTAGGAGACAGAGGCAGGCGGATCTCCGAGAGTTTGAAGCGAGCCTGGTCTACATGACAAGTTTTAGGGCAACATAGTAAGACCCCGTCTCAAAACAATCTAATGGAAAAGAAAAGGAAAAAAAGAAAAGAAAAGAAAAGAAAAGAAAAGAAAAGAAAGGAAGAAAAGAGAAAGGAAGGTCTAGGGAAGCACAAAGCACCCATTGGCTATGTATCTCAGGAGTAGCACCCCAAGAGCATAGCACCCCAGGAATACTTCTAGCAGTTAAGTTCCACTGTGCTTCCAGCAACCTTGCACTGTCAACAAGGCCAGCTTTAGGGGTCACAGTATATATTTACCCTTCCACACTGACTGAGAACAAGTTGGTAAGGACACCCTCCTTCCAGTGGGCCCTGAATCCCAAAGCTCCTGAGGTATTTTTTGCCCCCCCCCTTTTTTTCTCTAAGGATGAGAGATGATTTCAAGATGGCTGCCCTGCTGGGGAGCCCATGGGCAGGCACATGTCTGACACACAGGCACTAAATAAACACTGCTCTACATTTTCAGTGTTTCGAGGGGCGTAGAGGCCCCTCATTATCCAAAAGACTTTGATAAGTCAGTGAAGGAAAAGTCTAGAAAAATACACCACTTTGCCCCCCACCCCACAAAGGCCACATGGCTTCAACCTAGGGAAGAGTTAACTTTCTGGCCACTGGAGACAGTGTCCTGCCCGCAGGGGCTACCCAGCCAATGGCACTCAGTGCTGGTGATGTCATGCTCCTCCTGTGCCTTCTATTGGGGACTGGACAGCGAATCCTGCTGGAGGTTCAGGCAACTGAGCAGCTGAGCCCGGTTGGTGGCAGAGAAAGGAGGAGGAGGGAGGGCCAAGGACAAGAGAGCAAATCAGCCCCCAGCGGCTCCTGCCTCCTCCCTCCGCTCCCTGCTCCTTCAACAGAAGGTTCCCCTGGGAACCTGTCCCACACTCTCATCATTGCAGAAGCAAAGCAACACAGCCTTGGTCCAGTAGAGGGGGGCACGGACTCCCTCTCCCACTTAACCTGCCCACAGGGAGTGACTGTGGTGAGGGCTAGAACACACACACCACACACACTACACACACACCACACACACACTCACACACCACACACACTCTCACAGACACCACACACACGCTCACTCACACCACACACCACACTCACACCACACACACCAATAGTTTCCTTGGCACCACTCCCCCCACCCCTGACTCTTCTTCACCTGCCCGAAGACTGAAGGTCTGTGTCCGAGCTGCTGCCCACAACCGCCCCGTCCTCTCTGCTGGGCTCTCTGGAAGGGAAGAGCAGGCAGAGAACCTGTAGGCAGCACCCAGCCTCTGTCCCACCCCGGTCACAGTCTAGCAGCCCCGGACTAACAGGCTGCCTGCTCCCACCCACCCAGCACCACCTTCTCCGAGAGTGACCCTTTCAAGGTGTCCTTCAAATCCCCTCCCAGACCAGCTAGGGATCCAGGCGGCCACTGCTCCCCCTCGGCTTATCTGTACCCTCCCTGGAAGTTCCTCCCACCCGCAACCCCAATGCGCAGCCCCATCAGTCTCTCACGGTTCCACCCGGTTGGTGAATCTGCGGCGCCACAGCATGGCCAAGCTGAGCAGGAAGAGGGTGGTGCACATGGCTCAGCTGCCCCATCCCCCCTGAACACCAACTCTGCCAGAAGAAGGCCACAGGTGAGGGGCCACAAAGGCCCTGGCCACCTCTCCCAAGCCACCCGCTGTGTTTCCTGAAGTTCCTGGGGATGGATTAGTGGATGGATTAGTGGAGTCAGCAGAACTGACCTGGTGAAGGGAGATTAAACTCACCGGGCCCAAGATCTCCCCTCTAGAGGCAGAGTAAACCAACCTCCTTCAAGGTGCCTGTCCAGAAGGTTCTCCCCAGAGCATTCCATACTGCCAGGGCTTCAGTGCAATCAAGTTAAGTGAGTTACTTCTGTACTGCAGAGCACTGGGGACTTTGCAAGCAGCAAGGAGAGCTTCAAAGAGGATCTGGGGCCTGGCCCAGTGACAAGGACCTGTAAGCCACTGGGAAGGCGCGGGATCTCAAGTTCAAAGCCTGGCTGAGCGTCAGAGGGAGTTGGAGGCCAGCCTGGAAATCTAACGGGAGTATCTCAAAGAGGGCTTTCCTGCATCCCAAGGCCCTGAGTTCAATCTCCAGTATAAAGAGAGCAAGCGCAGGTGTCTGAAGCTGCAGGTGCTACAGAAGTTTGGGCCCTCAGCCGGCTCTGCTTGGCTGCTGACTCCTCAGTGACAGGCTGTGCGGCAGAAGGGAAGCAGGATGGATGATGAGCCCGACAGGCCGCGAGAGCAGAGCCTGCCTGTGAACCTGGCTCGCTTGCTCCCTCTGCCAGCCCTCTGAACTTTGCTCGTTACACTCCGTTTCAGGGAGAGGCAGAGTTGAGGTGCGCACTCACAGATGTGAACTATAAATTCTATCTTATATAACTATCTTATATAATTTAGATATAAATTATAGGCTTATCAATTATGTGCAAGACTGCTGTACCGATATATCCCTAGGTTATTAGGTATGGCGATGGGAGGAGACGATGAAAATCAATAGAAGTATTCTTTCCGCGTCCCACCCACCAGGACCTCCTGGGCAGCTGCTTGGGTCTCAGGAAGTAGAAGGGAGTCAGCAGGGCAGGGCGGGGACTGAGTGATGTCAGGACCTGAACGCACACCGTCCTCCATCCCTTCTAAGACCTTTGTTTCCTAACCATGGGAGGTAATGCGTCCTGCCTGGGTGCCCCATCAGGCACCCCAACACTGAGCTCCAGGGGGGCCTGTAAACATACTACTTGGTGACTGTCAGGACTGAACCCCGAACCTTAAAGTCTGATTTTATCTTTTAGATTTTTAAATTTTTGTTATTATTATTATTGTGTGTGTGCAAGAGAGAGAGGTGGAGAGAGGGAGAGAGAGACAAAGACAGAGAGAGAGAGAGGGGGAAAGTGGGGGAGGGAGAGAGGTAGGTGCATGCGGAGGTCAGAGGATAACTTGCAGGAGTCATTTCCTTCCCATGTGGGTCTTGGGGATGGAACTCAGAGCATCAAGGCTTTGGGAGCCAGCAAGAACTTTTAAAGGCCTTAAACCAGCAGGAACCAAAGCTGAAGAAGAGAGCCACCTTCTGGGCAGCAGGGCTCCTATCCTCCTTACTCCTGAGCGGGGTAAGGGCTAACAGGGAGCCCTGGGGAGAACCAGAGCCACCTCAGTCATCTGTGTCAACCCTTGTGGGCTCAGGGTTGACACCACAAGGTTCATGCCCAGACCTGAGCACCTCTGGCAGGACGAAGTTTGTGAGTCCCTCAAGACAGGGCAATCCTCCACTCTGTCCCAATCTCGCCCCTCCACGAACAGTCTATGATGATGAATTTGCCTAATGGTTTCCAAATTGAATCTTTGACGGTGACAGATGTCTCCACTGTCCTGCGCCTATGAGTTCTGGCTGCCCATCTATCACTCCTGACTGCCACTGTCGCGAAGCCTCGCTAAGGCCAGGGCCAGAATTCAGGACAGTGTCTTGGAACTTCCTTCCTGCTTGGTTTTGGGCTTGGCATTGGTGAGGAAGAAAGGAGGGTACGGGCCCTTGGTTCCCCAGACTGGGCTTGCGTTCAAGTTCAGAGAACCAGCAGGAATGATAGATGAGAAGGAAGACTGCCAGAACTTGGGGTCCCCAGGTCTGAAAATAGTGCCTTGGGCCCAGTCGTAGGCTGAGGAGCAGCGGGACTACAGGGACTACAAGGGAAGCCCAGGTTTTTCTGCAAGTTCGTGCCCTCTCCAGCAGGCGACGGGAAGCAATGCCTGGATGTGTTTGACTTTGAGTCAGTTCCCTACCGCGTGAAGGGTACGCACACGCACAGGTCCAGACACCGCGCATCGGGAGTCCGATCCCTGCGCCCCCAGCCCTGCACCAGACCGGGGGCACACTCCGGCGCAGCCCGCGCTGCCCATTCCGTGTGACGCCCCTGGTCCTCCCAGCCCCTTCTGCACATTGGCCACACCTACCTCTCCCAGCGAGGACCGCGGTGGCCTTGCTGGCGGGTGGGTGGGCAGGCGGGCAGACGCCAGCCGCGACGCCCCCATCCCGCCCAGTCTTCACCTTGCCAGAATAGGCTCCGCGACACAGGACTGGGGATTTGGAACGGATTCATTTTTTTAAACATTTTTTTCCCCAGCAGACCACATCCCCGCCCCCAGCTCGCAGTCCCCCGCCCCCCGCACATATACCCTGCACACACGCGCGCGCGCGCACACACACACACACACACACACACACACACCCGACGCGCACAGACACACACGCTCGCTCCCTCCCTCCGGCGCTCTACTCCGAGCCCTCCCGCCCGCCTCGCATTCACCGGCCTCGGCTCTGACTCCTCGCTCCCGCCGCCTAGCGAAGCCGCGCTGGGCTCGGAGCTGCTCATGGAGAAAGTGCCCGGCGACATGGAGAGAGAGCGCAGGGAGCGGAGTGAGGAGCTGTCCGAGGCGGAGAGGAAGGCGGTGCAGGCTACGTGGGCCCGGCTGTATGCCAACTGCGAGGACGTGGGGGTGGCCATCCTGGTGAGGTAGGTGTCGCTCCCGGCTTGGCGGGGCCCAGGACAGGGAGGGTGACAACGACTGCGGGCAGAGGCGGGCTCGGCCCGCTGCGAGCTCCGGCGCCACCTCCCCAGCGATTGGGAACGGGTCGGTAGTGGGGGCGCCCTGGGGCGATGGAAACCCTAGCTGATTCCTTCCTGGCCCGGGGCTTTGGGCTCACGAGGAACTAGACGCGGGAGGGCACTTGGTTCCTCTGGCCTCAGAACTCACCCATCCCAGTCGGTCTTCCTCATGAGTGACCCTAGCGACCCAACTGAGATGTATGGCCATCTGACCAGCCCCTCAAAGGGAACGGTAGAGACTCCCCGTTTCAGAGACGACTCCCCGTTTTAGAGACAGGCAGAGAAACTGAGGTTCAGCCAGGAAAGGGTTTAAAGAGGATACAGAACGCCCTGTCCAGGTCGGCCCTTTGGAAGAGCGCAGCAGTGAGCAGGGGACTAGAGGTCAAGAGGCCAAGCTGCCCAGTTGCCCCTCCCAGTCCCCAAAAGTGAGGCCAGTGCGAGCTGCAGGTGAGACAGGTGAGTGAAACCAGTAGGCTTTAGGATGCAATCCTGGCTGAGTTTGTTAGGGTTTTTTTTTTTTTTTGAGGGGGTGGCTTTCAGGAGACAGGGCCCCACTCTGGACCCTCCAGCCAGATAGGTATACAGAAGTATAATGTCCGTCTGCAGGATCCCTGAGGACCCCCACCCTAAGTGATGCTGTATCACACCTGCACGATTAATATCCCCAAACCCCACAAGCTAGACACTGAGTTACAAATCACACCTGGACTATTCCCACACACGCTGGACCCAGGGGTACAGGCAGAACAGGGGCACCCACTCTTGGCAGGGGGAGACTATCAAACCTAAGCAGGGCAGCCTTTTATGAAGACAGGGTGACTCCTGGGGTAGACGGACCCCTGCGGCGGGTGTCTGTTTTCCAGTCCTGGCCCCTTCCCCGGCTCTTCTCCTCCCTTTCTGCCTCTGCCTCGGCAAGCCTGGGACTTACCCAGCTCCCCGCTGAAATGCCTGGATTCCAACTAAGAAGTAGATTTTGGAGGAAAAGAGCAGAAGAGTTTTGGAGGAACTGGGGGAGAGTTCCTGAGGAAGAGGAAGGGGTGGCTGTTTCAGAGCTCACTGCCCTGCTGGCGGGAACCAAAGAGGGCCACTGGGATCCCGAAGCCGCAGACAGATTGGCAGTGTAGGCACCCACACATAAGCTCCCAGCGGGGATTGGAGCCTCGGATGCGCCAGCCCGCATCCCCAGAGAGCTGCTCTCAGCCTTGTGTTGCACCCCTAGGCCCACAAAGCACATGTAGGCACCGAGGGGAAACAAGGCAAGGCCCGTAGGACCTGGGGGTGTCAGTGAGTGGCTCCCCCAGGAATGGGAGAAGAGAGGGCACAGAATAGGATCTGAGAGCAGGGTTCATTCTTCCTCGGTTCACCCCCTGACACCCAGGGACCAGGCCTGGTTGGGGAAGGTACTTGCTGACAGACTTACTACTGAGAAGACCGGAGATGGCTAACAGATCTGGTTTGCCGAGCTTCCCAACAACCACACCTCGCCTCATGCCAAAGCCAGCCTGACAACCCTGGGGCAACACTGGACAACCCCAGCCACTCACCATGACTCCAAATGCCGCTCTAGGGCTCCCTGCCCTAGGCCTGGCCAATAGCAGGGGGCAAGGCCAAGACCCCTAGCTTCTCATAGCTTCACGGGATCCATCGGTAGATCTGGCTCACAAACTCATGTTCTGACAAGCCCCAAATGTTCATCCACGGGACCAGGCCCTCTGACCACCCCTCCCCCATTTCTGTCCCTACCGCCCACTCTGCCTGCAGGGTATGAGGCAAGGAGGAGGCTGGTTACTACTAGGAAGGAGTTCCTGGTGGTGGAATAGAGGAGAAGCTTGCTAGCTGCCCTAGGGTCTGAGGCAGACCCCCATGTTTCCAGTCCTTGTGAGAGAGGAACCCGAGGAGGGAACACCACCCTCCCTCCTGGTTGTAACGCTGACACCTTCCCCCTCATACACAGACAAG